CACTACCACGATTATTTTCACTACTACGACTACTACTGCTACGACTACTACTACTACTACTACTACGACGACGACCGCTACGATTTTCAGTTCTAGTTCTACGACTGCGACCATTACTACTTTTAGCTCTCCTTTTGCGACGACGACTACTACTACTACTACTACTACTACTACTACTGCTACTACTACTATTACTACTACTAGCACTACTACTACTACTACTACGACGACGACGACGACTATTACAACTACGACGACTACTACTACTACTACTACTACTACTTCTACTACTACTACTACTACTACTACTACTACTACTATTACTACTACTACTACGACTTCTACAGCTATTACGATTGCTTCGACCACTAAACTATTATTATTACTACTGCTATTACGTCTACTGTTACAATTACTTCTAGTACGAGTATTTCAAATACTACTACTACTACTACTATTACGATTTCTACCACTACTGCTACGACTACCACTTCTGCGATTCGTAGCATGTCTGATGTTATTACAACATAGTTTGAGACGGTTACTACTTTTAATATTCTCAGTTTACTTTTTATACCTATCATGACTACTACTATTTCTCCTCCTCCTACTGTTACTACTGCTACTATTACGGGCATCAGTGTTAATAATACGACTACTCCGATCATTACTACCACTACTACTTCTACTACCACTACTACTGCTACTACTACCACTCCTACCACTAGTGCTGCTACTACTACCACTACTGCTACTCCTACTAGTACGACTGCTATTATTACTACTGATGCCACCATTTTTATTAGTACTACTACTACCTACTACCAGCAGCACACCTTCTACCATAACAACTACTACTTTTTCTTCTTTTCCATTCATACTACGACTACTAAGAGTACTCCACTACTACTACTACCCACCTATTACTAGATAGCGAAGGGCTGAAACGTACTGCGTATTCGGTACTACGTATTACGTACGTACGACCACGATAACTATTGCTACTACTACTACTACTACTACTACTACCACCTACGACTATTACGAGCACGGGTATTGTTTCTGGTACTACGACTTCTACGGCGACTATTATTCTCTTTAGTATTTCTATTTCTCCGGCTTGTAGGATTCGTACTACTACTACCATCATCACGATTACGGCAATTACCACTAAACACTACTATGCCTACTAATACTATGATTACGGCGACTACCACTGCTAATAATACGATTATTGCTATTTCTACCACTACTACTCTTGCAACCACGACGACCATTCCTACGACTACTACGACAACGACTACTACTACCGCTACTACTACCTACTACTACTACTACTACTACTACTACTACTACTACTACTACTACTACGACTACGACTACTACGACCACTACTACTACTACTACTACTACTACTACTACTACTACTACTACTACTGCTACTACTGCTACTACTACTACTACTACTACTACTACAACTACTCCAGCTACAACTACTACTACTTCCCCCACGATTACTACGATGATTGCTACTACTCATATGACTGCTGTCACTACTACGCCTACCACTACTACTGTTGCTACTACTGCTAGTACAACACTTGCTACTACTACAACTACTGCTACTACTACGACTACTAAAACTACGACCACTATTAATATTACTCTTTTTATTACTACTACTATCACTATTTTTAGGTTCACGACTACTACTGTCACGACTACGATAGTTACTACAAGTATTACTGCTACTTTTTTTACTACGACTACTACCACTATTCCTGCTATTGCAACTACGACTGGTACGACTACGATATTACTACGCCCACTACAACGACGGCTGCTACTACTATTAAGATTATTATTAATACTACTACTACTAGGAGTACTTAGTACCACCATTACAACTACCTTTATTAATACTATTACTATTACTACTACTACTACTACTACTACTGCTACTACCACTGCTACTACTACTACTACTACTACTACTACTACTACTACGACTACTACTACTACTACTACTACTAGTACGACTACTACTCGTATTGTTGCTACGACTACTACCATTACTATTACTACAACTACTATTTTCGACGATGGCGACTACTGCGACTACTCCTTCTCCGACTACTACGGCGACCTTTATTGTTGCTACAGTTACTAATACTATTACTTCTAGTATTAGCCTTACAACTATCACTATGATTTCGACTACGACGACGACTACCACTACTATCATCGCAACTACCACGACTATTACTACTACTACTACTACTACTACTACTACTACTACTACTATTAATACGACTACTACTACTACTACTACTTCTACAACGACTACTACTACTACTACTACTACTATTACGACTATTACTACGACCCTGATTACTTCTACTACTAATAATATTAACAACAATAACAATAACAATATTGACACTACTATTTTTACGACGACGACAACGACTACGACGACGATTAGTATTACTTCTATTCGTATTTTCTGCTACTATAACTACTTCGACCGATGTCCGATGCATTCCTGGAAACTTTTGAAGGATGCCTCCTGGTTTTGAAGGAAATCCTACGGATGCCCGGGGGACTCCTAAGGATTTTTGAAAACGTCTGAAAGATTCCCTACGGTGTCCCACAGAGGCCCTCCTAATTAAGGATTCCTCAGCGATTCCTAAGGAATCCCTGGGGACCCTCCTTAGGATGACTCAGGGATTCGTGAGAACTCCCGGAAAGAATTCCCAAAGGGATTCGTCCTGACCTAATTCCCCACGGTTTCCCATGAACTCCCTAGAGGATTCTAAAGATTCTTTGGGGGTTTCTGTAGGATCCCTTAAGGATTGCTGAGGATCCCCAAAGGATGCCATAGGGATTCTTGAGGACTCCTATGAGAGATCCAAGAGGATCCCTAAGGATTCCCGAAGGGATTCCTAAGGATTCCTCCGGGATTCCTATGGATTGCCTTACGGATACCCTAAGAATTCCTAAAGGTTTCTTGGTGCTTCCGATGGGTTCCCAAGGGAGTGATGAGGATTTCTTAGGGGTTGCTAAGGATCCCTCAGGGAGTGCAGAGGATTCTCTAAGGATCCCCTTGGGATTCCGAGGGGTTCCCTGATGATTCTTGAAGATTCCTTGAGCATTCCGGAGGGATTCCTAAGGATTTCCTAGGGGTTCCTAAGGATTCCGTAGGGAGAAGGATTCCCAGGGAGTGTTCAGGATTCCGTAGGGAGGCCTCAGGATCCCGTAGGGAGTGCAAAGGATTTTTTAGGGAGTGCGAAGGATTCCGTAGGAAGTGCCGAGGATTCCGTAGGGATAGCGAAGGATTCCTCAGGGAGAGCTAAAGGTGCCTTCGGGAGTCTTGAGGATACACTAGGGAGTGCTAAGGGTTCCTAAGGCAATCCTAGGATTCCAAAGGAAGCCTTATGGATTCCCTAGAGATTCCTCCGGATTCCTTCCTGAGGATCCCTTACAGAGGAGTATCCAGCTCCGCCCCCCCCCGCAACGCAACGCAACGCAACCAAGGCTGCACCGGCAACCGTGTTGCGTTGCGCTGCGGGGGGTGATGGGGGGGTCCGGGTGCACCAGTGAGATGTTTCTATACGTGAAGCGAAAGAGCGAACTGGAAGACCCGGTCCGGGTGCACCAGCAGGTTGTTTTGCTTTGTTGTTGTTGCCGTTGTTTTTGTTGTTGTTCACGTGGGGAACATCTTTAATTTGGCGGCACGTCACTTTTCCTGTCCAAAACCAGGGTGCGAGCCCCCGGAGAAATACTTCAGTTGAAGAATATAACGGTTACCGGATGGGGGGTAAATCGCATTTGCTTTGTAGAATCCAATGGGAATGTGGCGACAATTTTTACAAGTATAGTCGCAATTACATTAGCAACGACAACGATGACGACTACAATATTCATGTAAGACTGTTCGTTTTATCCGCTCGTGTGTCTTTCAATATGTATATCCCAAGCAATCGATACCCGCCTTCTTCGTCTTTGATCGTACCCCCTTGAGTGTAAAGATCTTTCTAACCTGAACCGCGCCTTTCGTGCACCCCCTAAATCAGGGGAAGAGACGGACGGAAGGAAGGAACCAGGGGGAAGGAGGAGGGGGTCTGGGAGCAGAAAGAATCTGGCAGAGCCAGACAGGCAGATCGGGCGGGTAGACCCTAACGGGCGCGTCGGGAACGAAGGCGGGTTCAGGCGGCCAGGTCGAGCAGGCGGGTTGTTGAAGCGTGCGTCCTGCATGAATCGCGAGGAAGTGTCGATCGATAGCGCGATTCCCCAATAAATCGTCAGAAAACCAAAGCGAGAGGTGACTCCTGAGTGTCGAAGGCGTGGCGTCTGAATGAGTTGCGCGATTCCTGCATAAGTTGTGAGGAAGTCCCGCGCGAGAACGCGATGTGGTAATACCTTGTACGGAAGTATCAGCCGGGAACCGCTGTTGTTGCAGACCGGGAGCCAGGGGCGCAGCTTGGTGACCCCACATTGTCCTTTGTAAACAAACAGGGCGCCAGCCCCCGAAGGAGCATTTAAATGGAAAACAATTACAATGTTACCAGAGGGGGGATCAAGAATAATTGGAATTCATTTTTAGGAAATGAGATTTCCATCCGCACCTTGGAAGCCCCATGTAGCCACGCATCCAGGGACAGTGAAGGACCGCTCGGCCTCACTCTGATTTTCTGCGCTTCGAAAGCCTAGTAAGGGGGGTGGGCGTCTGGTGCGTGTCTGGGGCCTCTGTGGGCCCTCGCGGGGCCGTTCGGCTGCCCTCCTGACCGATTTGTGCTCGCTGCATAGGCCCAGCAGGGGCTTTAGGAGCCCCGGGCTGCACATGGGGACCTGCAGGGGCGTCTGGGGGGTCCCGGTGCCAGGAACCCACGGGGGTCTCGTTCGGGGGTGGGGGCGGGCGCAGGCTCCCATATCAGAAAGGTATTGGGAAACAGAGGACACACAAGACGCCGCTCCCTCCAGAGGGAGTCGCGGCGCAGGAGCTACAGCCAGAAGGTCCAAGCTCTTCAGACCGAGGCCGCGAAGGCTGGAGCCCCGCGGATCGCGGGTCGGTCGGATGAGGAAGACGAGGAAGCGGAGGCGGAGGCGGAGGCGGAGGCGGAGGAGGAGGAGGCGGAGAAGGAGGAGGAGGAGGGAAATAACGATGAGCAAGGTGAGGAAGAGGCGGAGGTACAGGAGAATCCGTTGATGGAGGACGAAGGGTAGCCGGAGGAAGAGGGAGAGGGGGCGGAGGAAGAGGAAGAGGAAGCGGAAGAGGAAGAGGAGGCAACGGGGAGAGGGCGAAGAGGCCGAGGGAGGAAGGGAGGAAGGAAGACAACGACCTCGACGTCAACGACGACAAATAACGATCTGACGAAGACTTCGACGATGTCGACACTGGCGCAGACACTGGCGTCGTCCACGACAATGACCGCAATGTCTCGCGAGCGGCGGCGGCGACCAGCAGGCGACCACCGAGCTGTCCGGGCGCCTAGAGGCCGCGGAGGCTCGGGCCGAGGACTGCCCACGCTCCTTCTCGCCCCTCCTCCCCCCTCCCCCATCCTGTCGTGCCTCCCTTCACCCCCCTCCCCTCTCCTCCTCCTCCTCCTTCTCCTCCTCCTCCTCTTTGCCCCCTCTCCTCACCTTCATCCCTCCTCCTTAGAGATAATTGCTCCAAGTCGCACCCGCGACGGGTCGGTAGGGCGGGTCGGGCGTTTTCCCCTGAGACTTCCTGGCCACTTATGATCCTGAAGATTAAATTTGCAGGAGCTTCACGGATGGCGGGCGGGTCGTTTTTCAAAATGCGGTGTTCGCTTCAGCGCCGCGCACATTTGTTTGAAAAGCCCGCAAGACTTTCACGGACACAGGGCAGGCCGTGTGGCTTTCGTCTTAGCGCCGTTCACAGTCGTCTTGCAAATTTCGCAGGAAGAGCATCACGGATGCAGGGCGGGCGGTTTCCAACATGTGGTTCTTGCTTTCGCGCAGCGCACATTCGTGTTTGAAGTTTGCAAGAGCTTCACAGATGGAGCCTGGGCGGCTTTCAAAATGTGGTTTTCGCTTTAGCTCCGCGCGCATTCGTTTTAAAAGTTTGGCAGAGCTTCACGGATGGAGGGTGGGCGGTTTCGACAATGCGTCTCTCGCCCCAGCTCCGCGCAAATTCGCTTCAACTCGCTACAGCATATGCAAGGATTCGAACGGCTGCCGTCCAGGAAGATCTGTTTGGGCACGGTTTAGGCTTGTCAGGGCGCGACGGTCACATTGTTTCGCGGCGTTGGCGTCCTAGAAATGGTGTTCTGGTACGAGTTAGGATCGTCAGGTCACAACAGTCACGTTGATTCGCGGCGTTGATGTTTCAGGAACGGTGCTTTGGCACGGTTGAAGATTTTCAGACGGGTGTCTTCCAAGTGGGTCCTTCCCGCAGTGAAGGTGGATTGTGAAGGCCTTACGGCCGGTTCCGCCGACCCTGAAGGTTTTGGCCGTCGATGGCGACGGGATGTCTGATCACAGGAAGGAGCTAAAGGACAACGTGACAGGGTAGGCGGAGGAAGTGTGTGAGGAGGAGGAGGAGGAGGAGGAGGAGGAGGAGGAGGAGGAGGAGGAGGAGGAGGGACGGAGGAGGGACGGAGGAGGGACGGAGGAGGAGGAGGGACGGAGGAGGAGGAGGAGGAGGAGGAGGAGGAGGAGGAGGAGGAGGAGGAGGGGGAGACAAACGAAAAGGAGATGGAGAAGGTGGCAAAAGACGCCCAGGAGGAGGAGGAGGTGATATTCTGACCCGGGACCCCCCTGCAGGACCCCAGGGACCTCCCCAGGACCCCTCCCCGATGTCCCCCGAGACCCCCCCAAGGTGGCAAAAGACACCCAGGAGGAGGAGGGAGGTGGTAGTCTGACCTGGGACCCCCCCTGGGCTGCCCCCCTGGACCCGTCCAGGGACCCCCCCCGGGACCTCGCCAGGACCCCGGGACCCCCCCAAGGTGGCAAAAGACACCCAGGAGGAGGAGGAGGGAGGTGGTATTCTGACCCGGGACCCCCCCCAGGACCCCCCTGGGACCCCCACGGGTGTCTCCCGGGACCCCCCCACACCCCCCGGCCGGGGAAGGGAAGAAAGGGAAGGGGAAACGTTTCGAGTCAGTTGACTGTACGCAGGAGGAAGCGATGAAGGAGGAAGAGACGGAGGAGGAAGGAGGAGGAGGAGGAGGAGGAGGAGGAGGGGGAGACGAACGAGAAGGAGACGGAGAAGGTGGGAAAAGGAAGGAGGCACGGACGAGAAGAACAATCCATTCCACACGCCGACAGGGTCGGCGGATTTTGGCAGGAGCCTATGAACAAGAATTTGGAGTCAGTGTCTATTGCAAATTTGTTGATGGATGTTCGGTTTACATTTGTCACCCTCCCTCCTCCTGCTTCTTTCCTGCCTGTCCTCCTTAGTCGAAGATGTCCCCCCTCGGGAGAGGCCAACGTCAGTGTACCTAGAGCTGTTATATGTCGGCCTCTTGGATGTGGATGAGGAGGAGGAGGAGGAGGAGGACGACGACGACGACGGTGACGGCGGCGGTAGCAACGACGACGACGACGACGCCGACGACGACGATCACGACGACGACGACGGCGGCGGCAACGACGACGACAACGACGCCGACAACGACGATGACGACGACGACGACGACGATGGCGGCGGCGACGACTCTCTTCCTCCTCGTCCTCCTCCCTCCTCCCCCTCCTCCTCCTCCTCCTCCTCCTCCTCCTCCTCCTCCTCCTCCTCCTCCTCCTCCTCCTCCTCCTCCTCCTCCTCCTCCTCCTCCCCGTTCATTCGCGCGCGCTCTCCCACACTTGCGGGGGAAGATGCAGGGGGAGAGGTGGCGAGGGGGGAGGTGTAGGAGGGGGAGCATCGTAGGGGAGTTTGATGATTCTGGTGTTCCTTGCACCTCCTGAGGTGCCTTCGTCGCTGCGGCCGTGTCCGCCTCGAGATCCTCGTCGGAGCGCGCTCCACGATCTGAAGCGGGTGCCCACCGCCAAGACCTCCCAGCATCGCGAGCAAGAACGGCGGTTACGTCACGACCTCGGTCCCAGGAGCTTTTCTTCAGGCCCAGGAGCAATTAGAGAACAGCCCGCGGTGGAAAGCCGGTCCTGGGGATGGTGTCGAGGGTTCTCGAGGCACACGTCGGGAACAAGATGCATGATTTCGGAAGCTTTGGGAGGCAGAGAGGATTGGCCCATCAGGCAATTGGGCACACCAAATAAGAAATTCTTGACGCTTCGCATACACCAACGTGCGCCCGTCGGCTGCTTTCTCCTAGTTACATGGATTTCGCTTTCGACATGTGCCACTTCCTGTACAAACAAGAAGTACTGCCTTTTGCAGTCCTGTCTGTGACGAGGTAGCCCCTCCTCACTCTCGCGCTGACACGGTGCTGTTGTGTCACCTACAGCACGGACGTCGTCCGGGTGTGCCTGTCGGTCCTGCTCGCATCGGGCCTTGTGCCGACTCACACCGGGTGATCGACTTCTACGTGTTCATGGTCGCGCCGCTGCGCCATTTTGGCTGCGCATTCGGTGGTCGCCACCGGGGTCTCCACGTCACCGAGTTGGGAGTGTTGTTTCAGGCTCTTCTTCCTCTGAGTGGCTGCCCGCGCGCTCACTTTGCTTGCCTCTTTTCTTGCTGCCTGGTCGCGGCCTGGCTAGTGTTTGGACGGCATCCGACCTGCTTCGCGAGCCCGCTGACCAAAAAAGTACCCTCACCAGCCCGCCTGGCCACTTTCGTCGCTGAGCGCCGCTATCGCTTGGTGGCCCCGTTCTTTTTCCGCGTTCGCCCGACGACAGCCGCGCTGTGTTCTTGCACTGGCTTACGCTCTTCGCACGACCTCACGACGCCGCGCGGCTATCCGCTTGCGGTTGCGAGCAAAAGGGATCCCCACCAGCCGTCAAGCCCCCCCCCTGGCCACCGCCGCCCCGCCGCCGACCACAGCCTGGTTGCGGCTCCTGGGTTTTCGCCCTCAGTCCCGTTGGTGTCCGTGCTGGCTCCTTTGAGCCTCATGAGGTAACCCTGGCGTCCCGGTGATTTGCACGTCGACCAGCTCCAGCTAGCACGCTCGCATGTTCCTGGCCCCTGGTCCCCAGACACTGCCACAGCCTGGCCGTGTTTGCAGCTGCCGCCTTGCAATGGTGGGATGCACCTCCACGTGGATTGCCCATGAGTGGTTTCGCCTTCTTGTTCAACCACCCAACGTTGCCAATGTTGGCGTGCGACATAGGCACGCTGGGCTGCTTGCTCAGCCCCATTATATGCCGTGCTTTGCTCGGGTGGCTCCTTTACCTCTGGCGCCTAGCGCGATAAGGCCTTCCTGGTGTTCTCGCCCCTGGACTGGTTGCGCTTCAACCGCCTGGCACACCTGGCACCTCTTGCAGCTCTGCCTTCAGTCCCCGGCGTTGCTCCTCGGCGTCCCTCGGCGGCAGTTTCGGCGGCCGTTAGTTCGCGCGTTTAGGTAAGTAGGTTTGCCTCGTAGTTTGGGTTGGCTTCGGAATCCGCCTACGCTTCCGCTTGCGGCCGCGACGAAAGAAATATCCCCACCAGCCGTGTAGCTCTGGACGGCGCGCGGCCCTTTCCGTTCGCGCTCGAGAGCGAAAAAAAAAACACCAGCCACCGGCGTCCTCATCGGCATCTTCGTGGACGTGTTTTCGGTGTTTGCGTGATGCATCACGCGCCATTTTGGCTGCGCCTCGCTCTATTCCGCTCTGTGGCGGACGCTGTTCACTTCGTTTTTTTCCTTCGCTACGGCGCGGCCCGCCCTAGCGTGCTCGGCGTTCGACTTGGCTTCGCCTGCCCGCGTACAAAAAATCATCCCCACCAGCCCATCGAGAAACGATGCCCATGCGAGTTGGCGGGGGGGGGAAGAGGAAGAGACACGCATAGTCGAACAGCGAGGGAGGCGGATGAGGCTTCGTGGCCATGTCGAACCGTCGTGGAGTGGTCTCAGGGGCCGCTTGGGGCATATTGGGAGCCATCTTGAGCCAGCTTGGACTATCTGAGCTATCTTGGAGGTCATCCTGGGGTCTCTGATGCCGTTCGGGGCCTCCTTGGAGGCCTCCTTGGAGGCCTCTTGGGGCTTCTTGGGGCGTTCCTTGGGACCTCTTGGGAGCTTCCTGGGAGCCCTGGAGAGCCTCGTGGGGCCATATTGGATGCGGTCGGTCAAAAGAGGAGGGGTACTAGATTTGCGCCCCCCCCATCGGAGGCCACGATCCTCGTGAGGAGTAGCAAAATGACCCCTTGTCCAGGAGCCGAACGAAAAATTCCGACTCATCGCGACCCCCTCCCCAAAAAAAAATTCAGGGAGGGAAGGGAGAGGGTCCCCCCTTCGAAGGGAAGAGGGGTCGTGGAAAAGGAAAGAGACCCTCGTTAGACCACCGGTCGCCCAAAGGCTGGTGGAATTCATTCGTTGTCGGTACGTTTGTGAAGGATTTGGGCATTTCGGCGGCATCCTGGGGGGGGCTCCGTGGCCAT